ACGCACAGCCTGAGAGGCTGAGACCAGGGTCCAGCACTCCGAGTCAAGTCTACGCTTACGCCTCACTGTCCTCTCATACGGGCGCGACCTGAGGCCCATAAACTAGCTGAGCATAACTTAAGTTTTCCATGGCCTAGTCAAACTATTTCTTAAGCCTAGCTCAATCTTAAGATATTGGAAATATTACTAGGACCTCTCACTGGTTAAGTAGATCTATATGTATGATTATATAACATGATCTTAAAATCTAATACTTAAGTATAGCCTTTAGTACACGGCTTAAGCTTTTGGAACTTAAGTTTTCAATCAAATAGCCCACTATAAATCTCAAGGTTTGTAACTTAAAAGACTCTTAAGACCTGACCCTTAAGTATATAAACTTGATGCCCCAAAAGATCACCAAATCTTCAACTTAAGTTTTCTTCTGTAGATATAAACCTTCAGCATGATTATCACTTATTGAGTTTAGCTTCAGTTGGCCTTAAATTGTATCATCAGATAATTTCCATGAATATCAGGGTTAGCTTCATTTGGCTCCATATCTTTACCTTAAAGGTACTATTGTAGGATTTCAATTTGACTCAACTCAAATAAGGACCATTTTACATGTGCCATTATATACAAAAATTTGTAAATCATAGTTGGCTCTATCAAATTGGCTTCAGCTATGCTCCTAGACTGCCAACTTAGCTTCAATTCACTATATAGGTTTACTATAATCCACTAGATGTTCAAGCTCATATATGGAGTGTCATGGGGCTTGTGTTTAGCTTCCATTACATCCTATATAACATATTTCAATATGTTGACTTCAAGTTTATTTAGCTTCATTTAGCTTCAGTTCCCTAGTTTAGCTTCAGTTCCCTAGTTAGATGATTGATTTCCAGCACTCTGTATTGCAATAAATCTTAAGGTTTGTTTGTACATAAGACTTGTAACTGAATTCTACAAGGCTAATATCTTAAGATCTTACCCTTCAGCTTCAATAAATTAAGACATGAACTTAAGTTATGTTTTATAAAGAAATTACATAATCTTTCATACTCGTGACCCATACCAGGTATTTTATTTCAACTTAAGGTATAAGTAAACTTAAGATAAAGGGTGACTAGGCCAAAAGTATCTTAAGATTACCTAAGCTAATACCTACACCGCACTCTCCTCTTTCAACCTCATCCCAGTGCCGCGACGGCCGATCATGACTCCATGATTGCTCCATGAGGCCCGGGCCGCCCGGCCCAGCACTGGCAACCTCACTGATGCCGGCACTGGCACTTTCCGAATGCACTGGCAGAGCGAAGTGCCTTGCAACTTGGCAGTGCTCAGCAAGCATTCATAGCATTGGCGGATTCACAAATAGAAGGTCTACTAGGTATCAGGCCAGCAGACGGACTTCGAGGAAAATGGCTTGCACCAACTTGCAAATTCTTCAATGAATCGCAGAACACAAAACACTAGTACATACTACAAGACGGTTTGAACTAAAAGCTAGACAGTATACTGACTTGACAAAAGACAACACTTACAAAACAGCTGGCCTAAGCACAAGTGACAAACTTGGATTTCCAGAATGCAATCACACCCACATCCGCTCCGTCCCCGAACCCTTTCTGCGCTTGTCGCGTCCGGCCCTATCTTCGCGCATCGGGGCCAACGGATCGCAGCCGCGACGTTTCAAGCTGCTTCCGCTGCTGGTGCGGGGCCTCGTCACACTCTCTGTTCTCGATCTGGGAGTCTCATAGCCCGACAGTGACTTCGATGTCCCTTCTCCTAGTCTGCCTCGCGGTTTCAAGTTCGCAACTGCTCGACTCGACGAGGGCTTCGCCGGCAGCTCGTGTCTCGCGTTTTCGAGCACCAAAGCGCTGTTCCCGCGCGCCACGGTCCCAGACGGCACAATTCGCAGCGGCACAAAACGCTTCGACGTCGGCAACGGTGTGCTCGATATTGTAGCCGCCTTATTTCTCATCTTGCGCAAGAGCTCCCAGTCGAATCCAATGCACTGCAGCCCGAAACACTCGCTGCGCGGACGCCCATCTTCGTAGAGGTCTTTAATCGTAAGCTTCTTGCGCGTCGCGACGACGGAGTTCAGCTTCATAGCGCGTTCGATCGTCTGAGCGCACTTGAGAGCCGGACGGGGTGAGGATCACGACTGAGGATAGAAAGGAAATACAACGAACGATATCAGAAGGGATGATCGAACCCGGAGCGCATACTCCCCGAAGACTATGCACACGATACGTCCCCATATAGTAAAGCATGTTGTTCGTGCCAAGCGCAAAGAACTCGAACTCACGGCCACAGCGCGCAGTCATGACGAGATGGTTGGTCCATCGATTATCGGGCGAGCGGAGGTCTTGGTTAACTTCGAGAAGTGGAGCAAATGCAAGGGCGTGTTCACGGTCAGGAGTGCACCAGATCGTGCGATTGGGCAAGTAGAGATACGGGCTGTGACATATATTTCGAGGAAAATAAATATAACGAGAGCTACGCACCGTTCGTGTGTCCAGACGGAGGCGTGAAGAAGGTCCTGTGCATCTTTGCCGGCGACGATCGGCGCCGTGCTCCGAAAAGGCGGCCGACGGGCGGGTACTTTAAAGGGAGCCATAAAGTCCAGATAGCGCTGGCGTTCGTCGTCAGCGGAGATGGGGTTTGTGATGGTGACTTGAGCAGCGTCTGTCGAGCTTGAGGAAGAAGTAGGCGGTGGTATCAAGATCTCTCCTTCTTCGCGCTTGACCTCCCGCGTTTCGCATTCCGCAAGCCGGATGCGAAGTTGAGAGACCAGCCTGAGCGCAGAATCCAGTTCTTCGGTATGCGACAAAGCCGTGGTAGCTATAGTCTATGGGGATACCCATTAGCGACGACGACGCAAGTGATAGACACCGTACTTTGTCCATTTCATTGATCCGTTCTTGAAGCTTTTCATTCGTCTACGGGAAAAGGTTGTTAGTAACGTGCGACAGGGAGAAGGGAGACCCACCGCCGTAGTTTCTATGACCTGTGCTTGCAACTTGACTCTCGCCTTGAGACAAACCTCCAATTCCATCTGTGTATTGTTCACTTTCTGCGTGGGGGATACTTCAGCTTCAATCGAAAGGGTGCATCGACAGCCATACCTCGTCTAAAAGTTTAACTTTCTGCGCGCTTTCTTTCAAACTTTCTGCCAGTTTCGATCTGCCAAGAGTAAGCGGACAAAACTGTGGGGCAGAAACAACCGACGCATGCTGGGAGACAGGGCGCTTGGCTGCGGCCGCGTCAGCCGCAAGTTTGTTGTATTGCTGTGCGGCACAATGAGTCATAATTCAGGCGCCCAAAACGATGGTGACAGACCTTCGTCAGAGTGGAATACTCTTGCATCAGTTCGCGGAGCCGTGTCTGTGCAGCTTGAGCCTCGTTCTGGCTCGCAAATAGCGCCTTAAAACGAGTATGAGCGCAGCACACGACAGAGCTGGATACCGGACGATTTCGAGGCTCGTCTTCTCTTGCAAGGCCAGCGTTTGGCGCACGAACGCGGCGCGTACTTCTTGGGAGGCGTCTTTGACCATTTCCTGTTGACATGAAGAGTAAGACCGAAGAATATGGACGGCGAAAACACGCACTTCAGCTTCAGCGCGAATAGCGCCCATCTGCTCCTCCATCCTTCGTTGCTTCGCTTGGAGGGCTTCAATGTGCGTCTGATGGTCCTGACATGTGGATTTCAGCCTCAATAAAAGCCTCCCTCACACAAAGCCAGACCTTTTCGGACCGCTTGACATCCTGGCGTTCGGATTCGTAGGTATGGCGAAGGGCGTTATGCTCCGTTCTGGTGACGCAGTCCTGAGGGCCGCGTTGATGATAATGCCAAGCGAGAACAGATGGAGGAAAGCACCTGTGCTAGGCTCTGCACCATCCGTCATCGTCTGCAGCGGCCGTGCAGGGCAGGCACACGCACCTCTGCCTCTTCCAGCCGTTTCCGGAGCTCGGCGTTCTCTTGCTGAGCGTCTGCAAGAGCTTGCGTCACGACCTGCACGACATTCGGGCCGGCGCTAGCGGCGGACGCCATCCGTCGAAAGGCCGTTCGTTGCTGTGGTGGAGGTCAAGCAGAGAAAAAACGACGATGTGGCTGTGTCATACATGATGTCATCATTCCGATGTCCGACGATGCCCGAAATGGCTTGAAGAAATGATTGTATACAAACGAGTACTTATAGGCATAGCATAGAGCTCCATATGAGCTGCCAGCTCTTGCTGGGATCTCCAGGGGGATTTCTGTAATCGCTCCCACCCAAACATCGGCAGCCTTGAATTGCATGCACATTGCCATTGGCCCATTCCGCAGCATCGCGCGTCACATATGGTACTCAACAACTAATGTGTAGCGCTGCGCGACTGCGCGGGAGGAATCATCCTAATCGGTACTACTGCCAATTGTGGCGAAGAAAAGCCTGCGAAAGCCATATTACCGAAACGAGCGGACAATGGTGTCGAAGCGATGGCGCATCACCGTCCCTTCACTACCTCTTGCTTTGTTTACACTCCATCCGCGTGTCTGGAGCTGATCGATTACACGTCCGTGGGGCAGTAACTGGGGCGCTACATCGCCGAGCCTTGGCCTCTCGGGCGGGCTTTAACGGGCAATCCATGAGCAGTCTTCTTCATGCCATCGATTAGACGCCCATCCAAACTAGGTATAAAGTTACTGCCTCGAGGCTTGGCAACAAACGCAAACGTGGTGTTGGCGGACCCACAGAGACGCCCAAGGAAAAAATTGTCAGGGCCAGACATCAATCTACGAACCGTTTCAGCGGTTGACAGTTGCCGGAATTGGCTGATCTGACGTGCAATCACCGCGCTGACGTGACGATGGGGGTCTTGCGACTCTTTCTCTCTCTCCCTCCACCCGTATCACATCGACGTATAAAGGCTCAAGCGTGCGGCGGAAGACGGTCCCTTCCGGCCCCAGTTTAGGTGCGTCGTTGCTCTCTTTCTGTTGCTTATTCTGAGTCTGACTCACTGCCAGACGGATGTCGTTTACGGAAAGCATAGTCAGTGCGCTCTACGACTGGCACCGCTCCTCCAAGACGACCAGCCCCTCGATGTCCTCAGGCAGCATTGTCTTCCGACCGCGGACCCTCGTTGACCGTCTCCCTAACGAGCTCCTCACCGCCGTCTTTGCCTTTTCCGTTGATCACGACCCTCACGATGACTCCATCCTTACGACCTCACCCATGACCTTATCGCACGTCTGCCGCCGCTGGCGCGTTGTCGCCCTCGCCTGCGGTAGCCTCTGGTGCTCCCTTGTCATCACATACCCCACATCTCCCCAGCAATTCACCCGTGTTCTCACCTTCCTCTCTCGCTCCAAAAACTACCCACTGGACATCCTCCTCGACGTCCGTGATCCAGAGTGGGACTTTGAGCAGCCCGAGACCCAGCATGGCTTCACCATCCAGGACATGCAGACCGTCCTCAAGCTTCTGAGCGGTAATGGGAAGGCTGCGCCACGCTGGCGCTCGATGGAGCTGTTGACAGACACCTGGGCGCCTATTCACACCTTCCTCGAGTTTACCCGCGAATGGGCGCCTCCAAAGCGGCTAGAGCGCCTTGTCTTGTCTCGCTGCAATGCCTACTTTGCCCGACGAGGCCAACTGTTCCAGCCTGCTGCCCTCTCGGCGCCAATCCCGCTCTTTCAAGCCGCGCCTTCAAATCTCCACCATCTTTCCCTAGTTGGCGTCCACATCGACTGGAGCGTCTTTCGAGCGCCGCTCCTTACGACCCTTGAACTCAAATACCACGCCGCCGACATCCGTCCTTCCTTTGAGCAATTGGCGGCCATCTTGACGTCTTGTTCATTGCTGGAAACGCTTAGCATCATTGGCAGCGGACCCTCTCTTCCGCCACCCTCGTCTTCTTCTCCACCGATGATTCCGATCACTATTCCATCGCTCAAATCACTCACCATCGGTTACGTCGACGCTTCAGCAGCGGTGCGGTTGCTATCCCTCTTGCGGCTGCCTTTCCTCACTGCATTGGGCATCGAGGACGCCGGGCAGGGAATTCTGCCGCATGACGAGGACTTTTCGCCTTTCTCAGATCACGGGCCCGTTGTTCTCGCTGCGCTAACCAACCTGAGCGATGACGTTATTGCCTTAAAACAACTTACCTCACTCACGCTCGACTCGTTAACCGCCCCTTCGGGTGTCTTGGCGCTCTTCCTCGCAAAATGTCCTGCCGTCCGCCACCTCGAGCTGCAGCGCGTGAACCTCGTCTACCCCGTCGACGTGCCCATGCTGTGCAAGCTCGCGATCCCCAAGCTGCCGTGCTTGGTTCTCGATGACGAGGTGCACGAGCTGAACTGACGCCTCCTCGAACGAACGAAGGGAGGCCCCTTGTGGTCTTTTCAGTGCTCTGTTTGTTTGCTCCTTGCTTTTGTTTGTTACCCGAGCTCTCCTCGCCCATGCTCTCCTTGCTTTCGTCGCTGTCGTTGCTTGTTGTCGTTGCGTTCCGTTGCATAGTGGTTATCGTACATACATCTTTGTTGGTCGGCCGGTGTGCCCGAAAAATCGAATTGGTGTTTGGTTTGCTGGGAGACGCCTGATACATGCTCACCGAACGATCAATTCTTGTCGTACCGACGGGAGCGGGTGTGGAGTCAACATCGAGCTAGTCGCAGCGCATACCGCACGGTCGCGGGAAGGACAGCTTTGTTTGGCTTGGCACTGGTACACGTGGCGATCACGTCATCCGCCTCGTTTCTTTCTTTCTGCCTTCACGTCCCCTGAGCCCTCAGTGCCCTCACAAGTCCGGTCGGCGACTAGAGTACTCGCAGCGCAGTCATCCCGCTCGTTAGAAAAATCCACGTCCCTCCCGAAGGCACCCACGTGGTCATAATTCGCGGGCCACCGCCGTGTATCCGTGGCCGCCGGTGTATAAATCCCGGTGGCGAGTCTGGCGACCCTGCGAAGGATCTTCGTCGACTCTAGTAGACAACTTGTTCACCGGGAAGAGAAATGCCTGTGGCGACTCTGCGCTCTGCTTGTGCTATTTGTCACAGGTACAGTCGACCTGTATGTCAGTCTAGGAATTTATTATTGGACCAGCTGGCGGCCGCTCTGATCTCTGCTTATCATGGCATTCTGGCCGCGGGACCATGTAATTCCACCCTTTGCATCTGCGCTGACACCACCAGATTTGACTAGGTCCATCAAAGTTAAACTGGCAACTTGACCGCCACAAGTGCGCAATTACAGGACTTGAATTGCAAACTGACTAGGATTGAATGCCAGTCCACACCCGGCTCACCTCCAGAATCCACAGGCTGAACTATGTTCCTGTGGGAGCGATACGTGCTATAGGGATCATATCGCCCGCCACCGTTGACAAGACGAGCTCAGCACCCGCTCAACTTGCCAGCCATTTATTGAGTGGCACACGGAGGGGGCCCTCTGTTTCTCATGGCTTCTCCCCCCGAGCTCCCCAGCAACTTCATGCTTGTCGCAGTTCTGTGCTGTGTCATCACCGTCATCATTTACGGTAGTCGAAAGGGCCGTATGCCACTGCCCCCAGGTCCACCCGCCAAACCTCTCCTCGGACATCTTCACCTGATGCCCTCAAGTAACGCATCAGCGGTCTTCCACAACTGGGCCCGCATTTATGGTGAGTATTATGAAATTATCCAAGGCTGGATGACAATGACGGACCTTCCAGGTGATGTCATGCATCTCCATATCCCGGGCAAGTCCATCATCATATTAAGCAGCCATCGAGCTGCCATGGACCTACTCCAGGCAAAAGGCTCAATCTATTCTGCCCGTCCTTCATTTCTCCTCTATGAACTGTATGTCCTCCTGGCTGAAATTTCCAGGCAAAACTCAGCACTGGTTCAGCGCAGGATGGACAAATGTTCTGACCTTTCTTACTAATGATGATCGGTTCAATCGCCATCGTCAAGCACTGCATGGCTATTTATCTGCTGCAAATTGTGTCGCCTTCCAGCCATTCCAGCTCAAAGCTGCACGAAAGCTGGCCCAGGCAATGCTTAACACACATGTTGGAGAATTTGATCAACATATAAACCGGGAAGTAGCCTCTCCCATTGTATCATATTATTAGTAAATGCAAGTTTCCACAGGTTTTCTGCAAGTGTTGTCATCTATATCATAAATGGACATGAAATAGTTTCTGATGATGACACATACCTGACCATTGTCAATGCCATTGACCAGCTGTTCACACAGACAGGCACGAGAAGAATGTCAGCTGGTACACCCTTGGATTTTTTCCCTTTTTGTGAGTAGAACTTGAATTGATACTGAAATGACATAGACACTTATGATATGACAGTACAATATCTTCCCACTTGGTTCCCTGGGGCATATTATGCAGGGCTTGCACAGAAAATGCGGCCCATATTTCGGAAGATCTATGACATCCCTATCAAGCTTGTATATCAACAACAGGTGAGTGCCTGGGCCAAACTTTGAATTTTAATATCCTTGACTGGATGTGACTTTTCATAGAAGGAAGGCATTGCTCCACCATCATTCCTGCTCCACCATCTGCAGCTTATGTCAGTCAACAAGGGAATTCTTAGTATTGAAGAACTGAAAGGGGCTGGTGCAACAATATTTGCTGCTGGGAAAGCCACAGTATGTATTAATCTTTTTAAGGTATTATCATACTAGTAAGCTGAGTAAAATAATGGCTTTTAGACTGCAAGCACACTTATGGTCTTCCTCCTTGCTATGGTTCTCAACCCAAAAGTGCAAAGAAAGGCCCAAGAGGAGTTGAATCGGGTTGTGGGTCATAATCGATTGCCAACATTTGCTGATTCTGCAAGTCTGCCATATATTGAAGCAGTTGTGCAAGAGACATACCGATGGAATACTGTTACTCCCATGGGTATGTTTGGTTCATTTTGTACTCTCTGGTTATCAAAGCTGAGTTCTAGGTGTTCCACATGTATCAAGTGCAGAGGACACTTACCAGGGCTGGAAAATTCCCAGTGGGTCCCTTGTCCTGGTAAATGTTAGGTATGCCAACCATAATCAAGTTTCCTCACTATAATTGATTTTTTTTTTCAAGAGCCATTTCACGAGATGTAGATGTCTATCAAGATCCAGACCAGTTCAATCCAGACCGCTTTCTCCCAAAGCCTGAGGGTCTCAATGAGCCACGGTTCAGTGATGCATTTGGATATGGCCGTCGGTCAGTCTGTGCATTGATTTACCTAGTTTGAAGGGGTTTTGATGCCCTATTAACAGTATCTGTGTTGGACAGCATCTCGCCCACAGCAGTGTCTGGATTGTTATTGCAACCATCCTTGCCACTTGTACTATCACAAATGCCACAGATGAGTCTGGCAATATTATAGTCCCAGTACCAGAAATGAGTGATGGATTAGACAGGTCAACAGTCAACTCAGCTATAACTTGTCAACTAATCAATATCCACAGTCATCCTCATGCATTTCAGTTTGTTGTAAATCCTCGACAGGATACAGAAGAAGTCCCAATGTTATTGGCCACAGAGATTGATGAACTGTGACAAAAGCATATCAGTGTTGTCTCCCTAAATCAACCCTGTATCACAAGTTACTTTATGAAGAAGGGTGTTACTTAGCAAGTTAATACTGTACTATTTTATTTATTGTGTTGGTCACGTGTCACACTCTGGCTGATCTGAGAATTTTTTTTGTCCGTCATCAGCTGATGCCATCACCGGCCGGAGCAGCTCTGCGTGTTAGGCTTCAAGTCGGGCCGTGCAAGGCTCCTCCTAAGAACATGTGCCTGGAACAAAACAGAAGTGGAGCGAGCGGGTAGAGTTGAATCAAATAGGCCTGTTAACGTGGTCCCTTGTCGCTGTTGGTTGTCAAGGTTTGAATCGGGTCATTTCAAGTTGGCAATACCTCCTTGCACAGTGAGAAGTGATACTATATATGATCTAAGCAATAGGGTACAGTATACACTATCACACTTTATATATGCTGGCCCGCTGAGGGGTGATCAGACACCCTTAGCCTCTTCTGCTCCTCCTTGCCCTTTTTCCTGGCTGCAGAGGGGACAATCGCACATCCCTTGCGGGCCAGGCACTACTCCTAACCTCCCCTGCCTAGTCACCTGGTGTTGAGTTGGGCTTGGCAACGGCTCGGCTCGACGTGTTGTTCTCGGTCATGTGCTTCCCACGGGTGCATTCCTCCTACTGAGGCACCTGTTCGCTGTCATGATGTGCTGTGTGTTACCGGCCTGTGATGGCCCAACACCAGCACTGGAGCGAACGGGCCGGGTCTTATCCATGATGCTGCAGATCTTTGTGATGAAATTTTTTGTCAGTCATGCAGCTGCTGTGCATGATGAACTGATGAAAATAGTACAGTATAAGGTCAGGTGGACTTATTATATGATCATTGTCATGTGATGGAAAAAAAAGGGAATCTTTTTTGGTTAGCAATGGCCAGGTCCGGTTCACAATTTCAGTTCAAACCTGAACCAAACTGGACTGAACGTGTGGTCGGTGTTCAGATTTTGCAAACATCGTTTCCGAACCAAACCTGGCCCTTGGTTTGACTGGGTTTGGTCATTTTGGGTCAAAAAAGGCCAGTTCGGGTGCAGTTTGATCCGCCGTTTGGCATTTATGTTCGGCCAAATCCAATTTTGAACCAAACCGTGCAGTTTGGTATTCCGCCAAAAATGGCCAAGAACTGTACCAAGCCGGACTTGCCCATTGCTAGTTTTGGTGTGAATGCAGATGATTTTATACATAGGATTGAACCTTAGCTATGAATTATATTTTTAGACTTCAAGAGAGTAAAATAAAAGTATAGCAAATGAGCTCTAGAGCCCCAAGTGGTAGCAAACACTCTCCCACTCACTTAGCACTGCTTCAGATCACAAACTGTGACCCCTCCTCTGCAATATAATAATACCTATAGGCTATCACTTGCATAGTGCCCAATATTGCTGCTGTTATGATTTGGAACATTTTATACACTGTCACACAGGTTCCACATTTTACTGGTGTGGAAAGTTGGATAAATAATTTTTTTTTCCAAGTTGAAATTTGTTTGATTTAACTTTGCCTGACAATAGTCAGAAAAAACTTTATTGCCATTCACATAAGCTATAAGACTGGCAAAATCCTTATTTTGTATCTCTCACACCTTACCAAATCCTGGCTCAAAATTGATGAACAAGAATGCCTTTTATTTGGAATTAACCATGCTACCAACCCTTCCATGAATCAGGAAATTCTCAATTTTCGCCTTTTTGGCCAGCATAAGTAACTACATGATAAGTTACTTATGCTCCCCTGTTTAAATAGTTGCCTACTGTATGTCAGGGGAACCCCCCACTTTGACCTCCTTTGGATTGTCCAAGCACATCCGAGGCACCAACAGGTGCCCCCTTGGATGCTCCGACCTACCCCAACCATCACCCACAGCCTCTTTAGCCCACACAATCACCAATCTGTCAAGACCTCCCAACAAATACTGCATTTTAAATATGGATCACTTAGTATAGTCATGATTCTTTACAATTTTTACTTACACCCTTTTTTCTATTTGGAGAAATTTGTAGACAGAAGGAACAGTCTCTGAGGATATTTATATCAGATATGTAGGCTCAACATAATGTTTGGCACAGAATTGCCAAATAAAAACAAGCTCATATGTAAAGCTACACTAATAAAAAAAAATTCTATATAATGAAATATGATCCATACCCTTCAAGTTTGGAACCTGGGTCAATCCTGGTCTCCACCCATGCTGTTTCGTTTTATTTGAATTGGAACTGGCTGAGATATAATCTAAAGTAATCTCTCTTTCTTTTACACTAGCGCCGCGGCCATCAAATGCTCAGTCATTAAGATATATATGATGAATGTTGCGATGGGGCCGAATCAACATCACCGTCTGTCCAACGTGTGTCAATCGCGCGACGCCGAAGATCAGTCTAGAATCCCGTGGGTGAATAGTCGATAGACAAGACAATGCTGATCGTCGTCGACTCGTTGCATACAGGGACCGACAATCAGGTTCCTTGAGATATGAACTCCCATTCCATCGGATATATAGAGCGCCGCACAGATAACGCTGGCCCTCTTCCCTCCACACTCCATACCTGCCGGTCCTGGCACTGGGATGCCAGCTGGGTGCCCGACACTCCTTCCAAATCTCGCTGCGACTCTTCCACTTCATTCATGCGCTCTGCCTGCCCAGTGTTTGTGCTCGGCGTTCTGGTCAGCCTCCAGGGTGTCTGCGCACTGAACTTCAACCCATCTGACTACCAAGCCGCCGTCGGGCGGCAGGTCACGGTGACTTGGACGACGAGTAAGGGCGATCCATCGTAAGTAGGACCATCGCCAGCATATCATCGCTGACACCGCTCCCAAGGACGGCTGATCTGCAGCTTGTATTGGATAACAGCATTGTTGCGGCAGATGTTGTCGATGTGGGAGGCTTTTTCCATCTGTTCAAGATCGCTGACACTGTTCAACCTGGGTGAGCGGCGCTCTACTGAGCGTTGATGAAATTGGACTGACCTGCCTGCATGAAGTGATGGATATGCGTTCAAATTTGTGTCGACGGACGGGAGCGCGAAGCTGCTCGCTGAAATCGGCACTTTTTCGATCGCTTCGGGGGGTGGTGCGCAGACCTCGCCTGCACAGACGACATTCCATGATCCCGATTTCCCCACTTCGCCGGCGTCCAGCAGCGGTATTTCGACCACAAGGCCGTTCAGCTCCAGCAGCGCGAGCCCACCGCTGGCCGGGTCATCAAGTCCCGGTCAGTCTTCATCCTCGCTGGTCTCGACCGGCGCCGGAACAAAAAGCTCCACAAGCATTGGACCGGAGTCGAGCGGTGCGGCTACGTCCACCCGGTGAGCATGACGACATATTCGGTAGACGCACGTCTGACCCCCGTTGCAGCGGCACCGCCCATCTATCTTCCTCCACCATCACCGCGATCGTGGTCGTCGCTGTCCTGCTTCCACTGATCGCGGGTCTGGGGCTGTGGCTATGGCTTCTTAGACGCCGAAGGGCAGCGGAGGACGAACCGAACGCCGGCTCGTCGCGGACTCCGCGTGTGACGCCGTTTAGAATGCTCCCATCGACGTACGTAACAGATGACTCGGAGACGACACCAACTGCGCTGCAGGGCACGGAGACACAGCTCAGGACGCCGTGGACCGCCTCGTCTAGTCGCTTCCCATGGACTGACGTGGAGAAAGGACTGCCGCACGATATACGAAGTAGCCGGGGCCCCGAAAGAGAGGTGGTGGCGCTGAGAGAGCGCGTGCTAGCGCTCGAGCGGCAGTTGGAGGTTTCGAATGAGAGCGGTGGCCAGACTTTTAGGGGGATAGGACGAGAGTCTGTTTCCGAGACGCCGCCGCCGGCATACAATGATACCCGTTGACTGCGAATTTTAGAAGTTCATGCCTGCGTGGCACCTGCGTTCGACGGCAACCAACTGGTGAGCTACGACCGCGACAGGGAAGAGGGTGCTGCTTCGAGTCTGCCCAGGGTCGCACGCATGAGTAACGCATCAAGTCATAACCATCCATACCTCCTGGAACATCGTATGCCGCCGTGTAGGTAGTACTACCAGCAGCATGGAGGTCAGGAAAAAGAAGTGTGTCTCGTGTCATGACGACGGATTGATCCGTAACAGCGCGGTGTCACACATGGTTTTTTAGCCGCGTGACACCCCCATTAACACAGTCACAAAAGGATGTTTTGGCTCAAAACTCGGTAGGATCTGCATGGAAAATTGAGATATAGCCTGATGAAAAATAGAAGAAGTATACCAGGTGGTCCACAATCACTCGAAAGCACCAGACAATGAGTAAATTGCGAGAAATTCAGTTAATTCCTGTTTTTGGCCAGTTGATGAGGGAAGGATGGTTCCTGACTGTAAAATAGAGGTTCGCGGGCCCAAAAAAGCATTAAAAACACTGAGCACAGCAGGACTCGAACCTGCAGCCTTTTGGTCGCGAATCACGTGACGTGAAACGCCGGCATCGAAGCCAAACACGCTAGCCATTGCGCCATGCACCCGGTGAACGACTTACGTGGTTTGCCTATACATTCGACTGCCCCAGCGCCTGAATCTGTTGACTATGAATCCGCTGTCAGCGGCCGCAGCGTTAATTGCGCTCGCAATAAGATTCTGGTCCTTCAGCGCTGTTTCCAGCCATCATGATAAGTCATTATTACTGATTAACTCCCCAATGACATCAACCATTTAGGATGTGATTCTGGGTTCTGGGAGATATTGTAAGAGCAAACTCCTTCTTAAACTCTTCACACTTATATACTACATCTACTTTTGCTGTGTCCTGCAAGTAGCCCTGAACCTGTATAGCCTTATAAATCTCCTAAAATGTCCCACCAGATAGATATGTAGTCTACCAAATTGCACAGCTATTACTGACTTATCTGAGCACTACTTGACTTCCATATATTATATATATATATATAAGCAACTCAGCTTTTGATAAAGTATAACCACAGTGCATACATTGGAAGTCTGTGCTTTAATAGATAGAAGCAAGGAGAGTAATAAATTAATGATTTAGGGTGGGCTCAGTGGGCTGACAACCGACGTAGCACAAACTGACTATAACCTTAGTTAAATAAATAGTAACTAGTGACTATTGAAGCTGAATCAGTAAGAGTAACTTGAAATACTTATACTCATACTGATTGTTTCAATCAAGTAACAATTGGACTTTAATGTGCACATTTTTAGATTTGAAACTACTCTGAAATGCATCTCATACAGACTTTTGTTCCATTAAACTGAGAGAAATATTCTCTTGGTGGATTAAATTATAGAGTTTATTATTAATGAGATATGATCTCAGAGTACATGTAGCTTTAGGTTTATTATCAGTTAGAGCAAGTCAGCAGCAACTATTACTATTAAGTATCTTCAGAAACTTTTTTTTGTATTAAGGGATTTAGATTTTAAATATTGATTTCAGAGTCTGGAGGGTCAGTCACAATATTAACAAGGTGTACGCGCCGGCACAAGCCAAGACATTAGGGGGATGGTCTGGAAGGCTTAAATCACTTTTTTTTATAGGCTTTAGGGTGGTTGGGACTATCATTAATGGTCTCAGAATACATATAATTGTTATTGAAAGGACAATCTGCTGGCATTCTAGAGAAGCACCAAGCATTTTGATGGTAACTTTCTATTTGAGATGTGATGATGTGGCCATGTCACACCTGCCTATGGCACTGAGATATACCTCCATTGCAAACCTCTACTCCTAACATTCTTATTGTTTTATAGTATCACCTCTGCTATGTTGGTTTGTTACAACCTCCTGCCAAAAACTGGTTCTGTGATGATGTCTGCAGGGCAAATGCAGGACACTATATGTAGAGGAAATTGGTACTACTAATGGAATATTGAGAATTTGGCTAATTTCTGGCAGGCATAATTACCTTTTGGAGACGTCACGTGGCGTGACATCACGGAGGGAGGGGTGTCTAGCTGTCCTTAATCCACTTTTCCGACCCAATGTCAGGGATTTCAGGCATCTATACCCCTTGAATATTAATACACCTATTGAAATGGGAAACTGTTTTTTCAGAGGTGTATTAGCATAAACTAAAGTCGGTTTGTGAATTAAAATAGTACAGGAATTACATAGTGAGGCCTGATTCCTGAAAGGGGAGTAAAGGTACTTAACCCTTCAAGTTCTAGCATGTGTTCTATGCTGTGAACTTCTCCTGTGGCAGATATTTCAAATATATCCATGGATATGCATACTATAGCTAAATAATTTCCTAACATGATCATATTTTGCATCTGAATATAATTATACTATACTACAAATACTTAAATTGGGGGCTCTCAACATGATATACTTACTCATAATATATTATGCCCTGCCAGTGGTAATAATATCATGATATTTGGCCAACACTATATAATGTATCCCTAGCTCACAGCTTTTCTTTCCATATCTTGCTGCATCAGACATCACCATCTGATTATAGTATTTCATCAGATTGATGTCACATCACTGTTTCGTCATTCCCACCTCTTCCTTGCCACGTCAACACCGCATGCAGCATATGCCCGTACCGCTATGCCCGCTCCAGCCGCTGTAGCGGTAAGTACCCTCCTCAGACCTGTACTTTGTGTTGATATATCTTTCTATTGAAGTTCCTCGTTTAGCTTCAAGTAATGACACTTCGACCTCGCCGAAGCCTCGTTGTCGTCGCTGTCAAGCCTGCCTCGTGTGATGGAACCGAAGGCCATCGACGAGTATGTATAAGAAAGAGCCTGACACTCTCAAAGCGACTCCACAGCACATATCTCTAGGCATCTATGTACAACCATGCAACGACCCCAAACCAGCAAAAATCGGCGCTAAAATCTGTGGATTGCTCTCAAAGCTTCCAACCAATGGAAGTGGATGTCGATGGCCAGTACCCCGGGCCGGTACATCGCCCCCTCCATGGTGCGTCTCCTTCGGCACTCGTAGCTACCTTCGCTGATGTATTTCTTCAGTTACGCAGCAGTCCGATCCTCCGTCATTCTTCCGTCGCAGATCGCACGTGTTGCGTATACAGATACCTCCCGGGCCCAACAATTTCGATCCGCCGGCGGAACCAACTGTGACCGACTGCGATATGGACGAGCTCGCGCTGTACACGACACTTCCGTCAGCCCCGCCAGACGCCGCGACGACTCCCGACGCGCTACTGCCTGTGGTGCCGCACGAGTCAAGACGTATACGAGTTCGCTTCTACGTGCCTGCGTCGACAGGTGACTCCTAGATAGACCCAGTGTCTTTGCCACCACCAGCGGCTACTCTCCGGAGAGGTCGCCGATGCGCTGTGCTTGCGTTGTCAAACGATAAAATAGCGTGCTGTAAAGGGCGGGATGGGAACTGTGATCTGCGTGCGACCTGTCTGCAGATCGTAATCGATCCTTCACACGCGTGGCAGGCGGCGATCTGGTTGTCCGCCGACTCGGAGAGCGGTATCGCCCTCTGAGCCTCTCAAGTTCCTCCTGTTTTCGAATACAAGAGCGGGACAAAAAAAGCCTTATCGCCCGTGCCTAGGCCGTGCTTCGTGGTGATGTCCTTCCGCTGCGCGCTGATGGCCGCCCACGAGAATGGCAACGGATGCTGTCGACCGCACGCAGTTTCCTCGCACGCAAGCGGAGCCTGTTTCGTGGACGAATCGGATGACGACCAGGCATGTGGCGCGTGGATGCAGACCAGCAGAGCTCGCATATTTTCGACTCGCGGACCGAGATCGTGACGCGAAGACGCGTCCAAAATAAATGGGTGACAGACAGCCTGAGGACCTGGTGATGTTGATGCCCGCTGCTGTCGCACGTTAATCGTTTACTCAACGCTCCTGCAGATGACACTTCATGAAGTCGATGCCGCTGCGCATGTTCCAGGATTCCTCAGGCTCCCGCAATTCTGGCCCTCTATCATTGTTTTCAAAGGCAAAGCGAGCAAATCTTGCTCCGGTTGAATGCATTCGTTGACAGCATAACATCTCGACAAGTAGCCGAAGGCGGTGTATGAGCGTCTAAACCGTGGGTGTGGGAGCGGGTCTGTCGCAAAATAAAAAGAAGGGCAACAGCGACGCGGTCCCGCAGGTGACTCCTTCCCCTCGCCCACGAACAGCCCATGTCCCGCAAGCACTTCCTCATCGGCGCGTCCTGCCTTGGCGTGGCCCTCTTCCTCTCGCTGATCGGGTCCATCTCCCTCCCGCACCTGACGGCGCTGGACTACGTGCGTGCCAAGTTCGCGACCCCGATATTGAGCGGGCAGGATACGCTCAGCGAAATCCGGGTGCGTTCGGCGTTTTCAGCTCCTTTCTTGCGCTCGCTCATCACTCGGGATGTAGCTGGGCATTTGGGGGCCCTGCTTCTACGACGAGCATGACCACCGGCTATGCTTCAACGTCGGTCTGTAGTGTGGTCACTTGATTTCGTCGTCCTCATCAACCCGCAGGACACGGATACCCTGTTCCGCTCCTCACCACGACTGGGCAGATTGAAATCATCAGCGGCTCTTGGACAAGGGGGCTCGCGGTCCATCCCGTCGCAACGGGCGTCATTGCCATCGCATTCGGCTTTGCGTTCGCCAAGTTCGAGTCGGCCCCGCTCATCTCCGTCCTCACCAGCGTGCTCTCAGCGCTCATCGTACGGCCGCTCTATTTTCGCTTACTGTCTGTTGATTTTATTTGGCAGCTTCTCATCGCGTTCGCCATCGACATCGCGCTCTACGCAGAGATGCACCACAAGGTCGGCGAGCTGCACGGCGTGAAGGGCAACGTCGACTTCGGGACCGCGTTCTGGTTCACGCTCGTCGAGCTCATCCTCGTGCTCGTCGCCGCGGTGATGGTCTTCATGGGCCGCAGGGCCGGGGACAGCTCCGAGTCGTACCCGATGTTCAGCAGCCCCAGTGGCGGGTTCTTCTCGCGGTTCAAGAAGTAGGGCGGCGACGGACTCGGAGTAGGGGGAGCAAAAATCCATATGGGCTTGAAGTGTGTTTGTTCTATTGGTGTATCATGTTATCAGTAGAGTAGCTATACCCGCCGTGGAATCCCACGTACTGGCACAGATTTTAAAATTGTAATGCCGCCGGTGAAATTTTAAATTTCTCCAATTAAATTACAGTTCATTACACAACCCAGGTGCTGTATGGCACCTCCAATCGCATCGACCTGAAAGCTGTAAGATGACAAGCTTGGAAGGAGGGAACTTTTCTCGAAGTCTACAGCCTGCGCGAGTACCCATCTGTCATGCGTGATCACGCCACATGACGATCGTCTGCTGCACAGCCTCCCGAAGGGGGTTCTTCTCCACCACTTACCTGCTCATGATTACCTCGCTTTCCCTCCGTCCACCATGCCCGTCACATTCACCGTCGCAACACACAAGGCGTCGCCCGTAAAGAACGCCGTTCTCGACGGCAAGGGGCTCACGGCACGCGAGATCTACGGCAAAGCGTGCCCGCCCAACTTCAGCGCGGTGGGGAAACTGAGGGGGAGCTCGTTCGAGGAGACGGATGTGTGCGTGTGTTGGAAATGCTCTTCTCCGTTGCACTGACTCTTGCTCAGGCCGTACAAGCCATACCCGTTGACATTGTACGTGCCATTCACTGAGTTGGCTTCTAACGCGTTCGAGTCAGGCATACCGACCTGGATGACCCAGCGGGGACGCCGACAAAAAAGGGGAAGCTCGCGCGGCTAAGTGGTATATTCAGCAAAAAGTCGGCTGAGAAGGCGGGAGTCGTGGCAGCCCCCGAGTCCGCTGTCAAACGCGAGCCGCCATTCCGCCCCGTCAAGCGCAACTCTCCTCACATCCCCAACGTCGTCCCACAGTCCAACGGCCTCGTTTACACCATCGCGTCTGCGTACAACCAGCACCACGCGCTCGTCTTGCGGCCGGACGACATCTGGCTCGCCATCCTCGCCCAATTCAACTTCTTCGTGAACGCCAACGCCGAGCTGCTGCGCGCCAACTTTGTCGCGCACGAGGACAAGAAGGAGCTGCAGGTCACGCGGGACGTCATGGCCGACTTTGGCGAGTTCTCGCGGGCGATGGTCGGGGAGATCGAGAAGAACGTCGTGGACCCCACGCTCCGCGCATGGATCATCCCCGACTTCAGCACTACAACGGAGAAGGATGTTACTGTGGCGTCGATCGTGCTCATGGCGACACTCAAGGCGTACTTCACGTATGTCTTCGACGCTGTCTGCTGTGGGATCCCTCGCGTCACGCTCGAGGGGCAGAAGGCAGACTGGGAGAAGCTTCTGGCTAGGGCGGAGAAGCTCAAGGAGTATGGCATCGAGCCAACGGCGTGGTATCATCTGCTTGTGCCCGTCCTGACCCGCTTCGTCAAGACATTCGATGCACCGTACTCCCCCGAAATACAGGCGTTCTGGGGCAAGGTGGCCCATTTCGAGCAGGGCGGAAGTGGGCCGGACACGTACACCGGCTGGATCGCTGCATTTTGTGTGTGGGACCAGCACGGGAAGTGGGTCGGGCCCTGGCTGAAATCCAGCGAGGTGCATCATCTCCATCTCTTTTTAAAAGAGCGACTGACGGCAGATTCACAGCAAGTCATCTGGACGACTCCACCTTACATGCTCTCTGCGAAGGACTTCTGGAAGCAATACCTCACGTACCCGGATCCTGGGATGTACTCCCTCCAGCTGGACGACTCGAACTACCACCAGGTCGGCGCAGACGCCATCCCGCCCGCGTATGCCGACGTCGACGTCACGCTGACCGACCAGAACGCGGGGACGATCACCAAGGCGCTGATCACGGCGGGGATGGTCGGGATGGAGGTGTGCTCGAGCGGGGACAAGGAGCTTTCGGAGGAGGGGAAGAATGACGTTGTGCGCCCCGTCGCAGGGTGGTGGTTGTTGGAGAAACTCAATCAGGGGGACTAGGTCTTGACAGTAAATCAGGCCGGACAATATCCATATCCAGCCCTGACAGAAGGCTGAAGTTGACCTTTACATTGTTACCCTGAACTTTGAGGACACTCTTCACTGGTGAAAGTATCATAATCAACCTACACCACAGAGATGCGACGATATATGGGCCATATCGGTCGAAAATGTGACCGGACGTTTGTGCAGGATATCAGGTAGACACTCGGAAGATGTTACCGACAAATACATCTGTAGCCTCAATTGACGGTCATTTGATGCTCTGAGTTATATTGCCTTGACCTCAATAAGCGATATAAGGGAGAGTTTCGGCAGTATACCTTGTAGATATCTTTCCCAACCTCAGAGAGTTATTGTAATCTCAACTTGCTTTACATTTAGAGTGTATCGAAATGGGGACGCTGCAGTGTTCGGAAAAATCCCATTATATTGAAACTATTGACTTATTACTGGTTCTTCTGTATTCCCCAACCCATTGCTCGTTGTTGCGCCATTTTCCTTGTCCGAGTCCTCATCAAATTCCTGTCTCCCACGCTTTCGAGTACTCCGTGCCGTTGGATTCGTGGCCTTGACATTTTGGACTTTTGGCGCGAGCTTATGCACACGTTGCAGCCACACAGGGCTCTGAGGACCGATATCGGATTGTAGCTCAACGTTGGCGGCAAGTGCACCATGTTTGGCAATGTCGTCTTCGAAGCAAGCTTGCAATCCACTGTGAAATGATGAGAAATGAAACAGAAGAGTGTGAATAGGTCTCACAAAACCAGGACACCAGGCCCACTGATCCGGAACTCGTTAAGCTGACTATCGACTGCATCCCAGAAGTCATGAGGCTTCGCCTTACTGGTCGTGACTTGCATTCGCTAGAATCAGGTCAGGATTATGACGCGGATGACAGCACAACAACCATACCAGGAATGCAATGCGCCATAACACACACAAAGTAATGGGGATGTCAGTGCTCCAGCTGGCAACCAAATCGGCCGTAAAAGTTGCTAAATCTGTCGTGTCCGCCCCCTCCTTGAGTGTTTTTTCAAGCTGTAACATGTTAAACCGGCCATGAGCTAAGATGACTGTTTACTTGCCTCGGACTTGAGATGATTTCGGTCGACAGACAGCTGATGGCCAACAGAAGCCTCGAGCTCCTTGAGAACATTCCGTGGCGCATTTTTGTCCGGAATGCTGTTGACTTTTTCCTTGCGCATAGCATCCTTTGAAAATATGAGTGCAGATTCGGGACATCGTATGACGAAGTGGATAATCATACAATGACAAACATTTTGAGATTTCCGCTGTAGAAATTGAGTTCAGGGTCGAGAAGGAAGCCGCGACAGTATTTCCGGATGTCTGCCTGTTCAATGGTTATCATGCATCATGCTCAATAAGCAAAAAGACAACAACCACACACATTAACATCAGCATTCCGTTTAAATTCTTGTGCTTGTGCCTCAACAACCAGCTTCTTTATCTCACGGACCTCGTCCGTCAGCGCGAGGACGGCTAGATATGACAGATTTTCACGCTCATGAGTGTTAGTTGTCTAGAACCTATCAGAAGTGGCGTCTCAAGGGCAATCACGACACATACCTCACAATGCAGGCGATAATCTCTCTCGGCATCAACTGAGAGCTTTATGCGCTTCAACTGCCGCTCCCCATATACAAGCATGTTGGGAGCACGAGCTTGTGATGGCATTGACAAGTTGAGACCTGGGAGTGGGAGTGGAAGTCGTTCCGGTGATGCCTCCCGACTCTGGCTAGGACTGGTAGGAGGAGGAGGAGACGATGATCGTGGTGTAGTGGTGGTGGACGAGGCCTCTGCTGCACGCTGTTTGGCCCGTTCAAGCAGAGTAAGCATAGGTGGCGCCATTGAGGTGGAAGGTGGAACGCAAACCACTTCCATTCCATCACCAACCTTATTTCGACATTCACGATCACATGTTTGATCAATAATTGGTGTATTCCAACTTTAGACGTGTTGTCTTGCTGAAATTGCACTATCTGGTTCCAAGCATCAGTGTCCTTACTTTCCAAAAATTATCCAGAGTAGATTAAGACTTGTATACTTGCATATTGAATCTAAAAAACATTTCACAAATGCCCTCTCAGAAAGGGGTTGTCACTCGGTGAGTCGGACGATTTTCAAGTCACTCCGCTCTTCTCATTGTCATGGCTCCTCGAGTCAAGTGTGAGTATGGCATAACCTGTTCTGATATTGGTGCTCAGAAATGAATTCTAGCACTACCTCAGCATATTGAAGCGCATCCGACCGACTCCAACTATGTTGCATGCACGCTATGCTCAGCATACGGTACATCACAAACTGCGTACATCAAGAAAACTTCCCTCGCTTCTCATCTCAGAACGGCTGGTCATGTTTCGGCTTGCAATGCATGGCAGGAAACAGAAAGAGTAGAAGCTGAACGTCGCATACAGCGCGATGAGGCTTACACAGCTCCGGCGATCAAATATTTAGATACTGAAATATCCACTCCAACTGCGTCGACATCCATGATTCCACCAACATTGCCAGCAGATGCTCACCACTGGCATAGCATGGAGAGCTTTCAGTACATTGCACGGAGGAGAGCCGAAGAAGAGGTTGCCGCCATAGCACTGAAAGACTCGGAAGCGCAGACAACAGAAACATACAAGGAGGAGCTTGATCGTGAATTTGAGCGAATTTTGGCACGCTCTAGGTGATGAGGGCAACGATGTAGACGATGAATTGGAAGAGGAAGATCCGATAGATGACAGCGCAATTACGACTGAAGATATATGCTCAAAGTCGACATACTTCCCATATCCGAGCGAAACGGTGAGCAATTAATATTGGGTTTTTGCTGGCTTATGTTGAGGGCTTAATTTCAGGCCGTCCTTCTTGATACTCTTGACAACTTGGCTCGATGCCGCTTCACGGGCGTACAACTTGCATTGATCTTGCATTTGCTCAAGCGGACCGGAGCTCGTGATGTGCCAAAAACCCTCAAAGCGCTGCGCAAAATCCAGAAGGAAGTGCACGAGAACTTCGAGGACAAACCCATAAAAGTCACGTCGGCTCAAGGGAACATATTCTATATGAACGACATACAGAAATCAATTGCACGCGACTTTTCAAATCCACTTATTGCACCACATCTCCATCTATATCCCGAGGAAGTGATTGGTGGCCCCGTAACAGAGCGGTGGCAGGCTCAGCGGGCATTAGACTACTTTCCCAATGAGCTAACTCCCATGTTTAGCAATGGGCATCGGCGGTGGTGGATCAACGAGGTGGCTCAGTTAAGAGATGGGCGTTTCATTATTCCGCAAACCTGGATTGTGCGAAGTGGACATCTGACCTGTGATGCATACAGTGTTCAAAGGACAGCAGATTTGCACTGGGATTGCGATGGTCGAGAGCTACAGGTAAATGCCGAAGAGCTTGAGGCTGATTTCGAGGACTTGAGGCAGCGTTTTGGCTCGGATTTTATCTGGACTGAACGTTCATCACCTTTTGTCTCAAGCTTTACGATGCCGAATCCAAAACGCCAGCTCAGTGGTGAACGTGATTTCTACGTTCTTGGCTTGACAATCTGGATCGACGATGTGTCTGGAAATCGATCCAAGCAGTATAATAAGTTCATGGTAATGGTCGCACAGAACACAGCACTTCCTGGCAAGCTCTTGAAGCAGGAATTCCATGTCCATTTCATGGGTGCGTCACAGCATGTAACGACAGCCGAGCTCAGCGCTGCACTTCGAGACACTCTTCAAAGCACTGAAGAGAACCCAATCATCTGCTTCAATGCTCACACTAAGCGTGAAGCAGCCGTGACTCTTCGTGTATCTGACAAGGATGCCGACAACCCTCAGCAATCCGAAGAGGCCAGTCATATTGGCTGCAACGGGAACTGCCCATGTCGCAAGTGCAAATGGGGCGGGTCAAAGAAGGAGAAGGAGTTAGAGGCTCAGTACCATGCCTGTCATGAGCCGGGTGTGGCGCGGACAGCCGCCGAAATCAGACTTGAGCTAACAAAACAGCTCGAGATGGCCACAATGGGCAGCTCAGCCGCCATTGAAGCTCGTCAGAAAGAGACTGGAACGAAGGACAAACTGGCACAATTTTGGATTGAAAAGGTTCTAGCCCAAGTCACATCAATGAAGACAGCAAACCCGAGTCGGTCTCAAAAATCAATCGCTGCTGAAGCGCAACAATGGTTGGATCAACAGCCAGGCGATAAGATGAACCCGTTGTTGGATATCACAGGATTAGACCCAGCTCGTGATACACCGGTCGAAATTCTGCACACAGTCCTTCTCGGTGTCGTCAAGTATATTTGGCATCACCTTCATACAAAACAGTGGTCCGACACAGATCGACACCTTCTGGCGATTCGGCTCCAGTCAACCGATACGAGCGGGCTGAGCATTCCACCAATTCAAGCAGCCTATATGATGCAATACCGCAATAACTTGATTGGTAAACACTTCAAAACGCTTATGCAAATACTCACCTTCCACGTTTATGGACTCTGCACACCCGAACAGCAACAGCTCGTTAAAGCGGCAGCAGATCTTGGCGCACGTGTCTGGGTTTCTACCATCGACGACATGGAACTGTACATCTCCGAGTTAAAGTTGGCTATCGCAAATGTTTTGGATGCATGGGACGCTGTTGACCCACTCAGAATCTTGGTCAAAATCAAATTACACTTACTCGCTCACCTGCCTGATGATGTTCGTCGCTTCGGGCCAGCGGTACGCTTCTCTACGGAGACCCAGGAGGGATATAATGCCGTCTTTCGGATGTGTTCTATCAATGGCAATAAACAAGCCCCGAGCCGTGATATTGCGGCAAAGTTTGCGGCAATGGATGGGGTGAAGCATCTGCTCTGCGGTGGGTTCTGGGAGTCCGCCACAAGCAGGAACAATAACACACTCACCAAAGTCTGGCTTGAGCCCGGGCATGGTGTACGGAACATCATTTTGCAAGATCCGGTCTTCCAGCGACATCTTGGCTGGGTCACGACGGAGAGCGCCAGTCCGGGGTCTGTTCGGCTGGTTGCAGAAGATCGGAATCCGAGTATCACTTGGCCCCACACGCAGGCATCGAAGTACATCAGCATCAAGTCTCCAAAGCCACCAGCTGATAGTCTATGGAAATTTGGCCTGCATGTGACGGCAAAGAGCGGAGACAAGATAAAAGTGCGTGGTTGGGTGTTTGCAAAAGACGTTGACGATGCCGTGGTGTTTGGCCGTGTCTCTGAAATTGTCTCTTCCCAATCAACATGCTTCGTCACACTGGAGCGCTTTAATTGCACTGAGAAGCGACATCCAGACCTCAACTGGCCAGTTGTTCGCCGTCCAACAGGCGAAGAGATCATATGCGGTGTTTCATCTTTCGTTGTGGTAACAGGCGCCCAGCTTGAATTCACTTGTTCTGTACAACACGACTGCAGGAGAGGAAGCTGTCGTCCATCAGTTACAGGGAAACAACGCCAAGAACGGCAGGAAACAACTCACGACATACAGTTAATCAAACACGACGATGACGACCACTTCATTCTAGACATGGGCGCAATCCATAACTTCGAGAAACTTACGCGTGTGCTTCCCTTGCATATGTACAAGCTCAGCCCGCTTCAAATCAACCGAAAGGAATTCCACAAAGTTGCATCGCTCAAGGCACAATCTTCGCGATTGGCCGCTCGGAAAAGAACAGCCGACAGGCGCGCGCAAACGGCTTCTGCTAAGAAGAAGCTGGCAAAGGAGCTCGCAGTGGAGGCAGCTGACGCCGAGTCAAAGGCAACACGAGCGAGGGCAATTGCCGCCGGGTTGTTGGCCCCAGACGACGGGGAAGAAAGCGAGTTGTCGGAATTTGACTCTGATGTTGACTCAGTCGCAGATGGAGCCAACTTGAATCTTGACGCGGAGGAAGATGGCGATGAGGATGAGGATTATATTGCAAAGGTATACAGCAATAAGCGGGTCAGAAATGAACAGGGAGGCCGGGATGGGGGTGGTAAAACAAGGAGGACATGACAGCGCAAGTCTGAGGCGGTGCCGCTGACAATTGGTCCGGATATATCAGTAAGATTTTCATGATATCGACTTCAATTTTGTTGAGGCATATTGTAGAGACATCTGCATTGACTACAAGTATATGTACACCGAGATAGCAGGATGATATATCTACACTGATATCACAATGACCGTCACCAGTACACTATCCAAACATTTGCCGCAAATTTTTGCTGAATATCACCACCAAATATCAGCTCGGTCTCACTTGGGGTCCGTGGTGTAGGCTAGAGTTTTGTTCAGCTTAATATCTCGTTGTAGAATATCCAGGCTATGTTACCAATCCTGGTAGGAGCATCTCTGTAGGGCACCTGTTCTCCGGATTCCAGGGACTAGCATCAAGCATAGGATGACACTGGAGGCAAACTACAAGCCACGGCGTGTTGATGGCAGACTCGACGGTGGTTTGATGGCAGGCATTGCAGCAGCCTCAGAGCACAAAGAAGCATCTTTGTGTCTTTGGGCAGTCAGCCCTTTGACTGCTCAAAGGAATTTCTTTAAGCTCAAAGGCAGTGGTCTGTTCTGCTACCAGAGCTGCCATCGAACCGCCGTGGAGCACACCATGGCACGCCATAGGATTTGCCCCCAGTGTGACATATATACATGCCTCAATGACTGCAAAATTGGCCACAGAAGCAACTATAACCAAGGAGTGGTTCAATGAACCATGAGATAAGGTGGATTATATGCACTATGTACAGACTTGTAAAGCTTGAATATAATTGAATATATTCATATTCTGCACTCAATTATGATTATGAATATGAATACAATTATAATATGCTCCAGCAGGGAGAATATATTATAAATATGAATAAATTATGAAAATTTGGTATTCATAATCATAATTGGACAGCACTAATTATATCCATATTCAGGCTCGGGCCGTCTTGAATTGTTAGGGCATTGGACTGTGGGGGGTCTGAGGAGCACGCGGGAATGGGTGATTAGCCTAGAGAATAGACAATACTGTAGTAATTAGACCTCAAGTTCAGACCATCTTATGCATTACACATTTATTTCATTTACAATCAAGTTCATCAATGATGATCAGCGCATTAATTTCCTTATTTGGTATGCCGGCGATAGCCGGCCGCAGATTTTTGATGATATCTGTCAAATTTGGCAGATTTTGATGCATAATTTCCATGTTTACACATTACTCGAACTTATGGTCTAATTACTACAGTATTATTAAGGTCAAGGTCCTTGACCTTGACCTCAAGAGCAAGGTTAAGGCAAGACAGGATCAAGGTCAAGTTAAGGGAGAGTTAAGCCATATTGCTCCTATAAAATCTCCAAAACCCTACAACACTGCTCTACTGTTCATCAAAGTGAAAACAGTCAAACACAGTTAAACAACATCCTGAATTCAACTGAGATCAATACGGAATATCTGGATTTGTTAGTCATTTCCTGCAGCTTTAACCCCAGACACACCACATTTGATTAGTTGAGTTGAAGGTCCTAGGGATCTCCTTGATTGCTCCTTTTCTACATATGTTAATAGGTGTTAAAGATACTCTGCTTCCTTGCTGGCTTATGCGAGAGCCGACCTGTAGATAGTCGTAGTTTGCACCTCCTAGTAGTACAGAGGCAAACTGTAAAGACTTGTTACGCATTACCGCCCATCATCCACCCTGGCGACCGATCACATATTCCCTAAACGGTGACTACCCCATTCCTCACCATGTTTTGTCAACAATAAGTGCACGGTGCACCTTATTCAAGCCCAAATATTTGTCAAAAAAAATACTGGCACATTATTATTACCCAAATTTGTCATATAGGGTGATTTGTCATATATAATGGCAATTTGTTGCCTATTTCTGATGTATTTGATATATTTTGGCACTGGCTCTAATTGTTGATATATATGACTTTATATCTTGGAACACAATTGGTGCATTTATTTGCTACAAATCATAGCCACATTATAGTCAGCTCAGCTGATATTGGCTTTGAGTTAAGTCCAGTCTGATGACTTAATCTATGACCCAATTTGAATAAAAATCAAGTCTATTTCCTGGGATGTTATTTGATATCTTTCCAAGTTGTTAAAATATACATAAGTATTCTTTGTCCACTATTTTTCAGGGCCCATTTTTTTTTTGACAGAAACCCCAGTGTGATTGGGCCCGTTATCTGGTGAAGAATGTTCCTCCAACTATGCAACTATAAAAAGGGTTAAGTACATTGTCGATGACCAGCGGCCTCAGGCCTGGTTCAATGGGTGACCGAGGGCTAAGTACAGTTATGTCATATAGAAGGCCTCTTCGATGTCCGACTGTTGATCCCGGAAATGTTCGACTTTTAAGGGAGCTTCTGCACGCGCAACGACACAAGAGCGCGACCAGCACCAGCGTAAACCGACTGTAGGCCGAGAGCCTGATATCTGACAGGCAACCTCTATGCGCCGCGCCGAGTCGCTTGCCGCTATGATGGACAGGGAAAGGGCCTCTAAGGATGCACTCGGATCGATCGCATTCTCAAAGCAAAGCTCAGATGCCATGTCCGAGAATGTGAGATGCGCGGGAGAGCCAATGGAGAAAAATAGGAAGAAGGAGTTGAGGCGGCGCATGCGACCCAGCGGAGGCTGTATGGCGCCTTCGTCGCGGCACACGGCGGCCAGGTTCTCGGTGCAAGACAGCTTAACCAGGTGTGGGAGGCCCTCGGCGAGTAGTGCGAGAATGTCGTGCAGGTACACGTCGTCTGGGGGCTCTAATTCCAGCGCGAGAACCGTCAGGGTTGCGGCGTAGGTGGCGATGGCGGTGAGATCGTAGATGGCGTCCGCGTCCTCACACGTGGCGGACAGCACAGCGTGTTCAAGTTGCCATGCCGTGTCCCTTGCGGGGAGAAGCGCAGGCACTGTGGCCTTCAGTAATACCAGCGGCAGGTGCGCGGCCGCCGCGAGCGTACTCGTCGTCGTCTCCGGCTGGAATCAGCAGTGATGTTATGCATGGCTGGCCGCGCAGCATCTCCATGTCGAGGTCCTTCCAAAAGGCCACGTGAAGGTGGGTGAGGCGAAACGGACAGCTTCCCGTCGCGAGAAACTTGGAGAGCGCAGAGTGTTCGTCTAGGGGAGGATCAGACTTGCTCGGGCCAGGTATGAGGTGGGCACTATACCGTAGAAGACAGCTGAGACTTCGAGACATTTGAGGCTTGTGCAGGAGCCGAGGGCGTCGACTAGCGCAGCGATGAGCCGTTCTTTGAGCTCCCAGCGACCACCTAACACGGATGGATCAAACGCCAGGGCAACTACCTTGCACGCGAGACGAGGGTTCCCTGAAATGGTGCTGCACCAGCTAAAGCACCGCTGCTCGTCGCACCGGAGCGTGACGTGGCGATACAAGCGGTCCTCTGCTATCGCCTGAAAAACGCGGCAGGCCAGAAAGAAATTGACCAAAGAAGACGGCGGGGCGCAAAGGGCGACCTCATTGACAAGCTCGACAGGGAACGACCAGGGCTCCATGCGTACGATGGTGACGGTCCAGAAGAAAAGGCAGTTGTGCCACCAGCCGTCACGGTCGCATTGTTCCGCGTTGTTACGGCCTTTCGGGAAGATTTCCCGCTTTGGTTGGAGCCATGACGAGACTGCCGGAAAAGAGTTATCCCCTATACGGATAAACGGCGTTATAATTACCAAGGCTTTCAGAAGCGGAGTGCCTTGCAAAGTTCAAGTTTTCGGAATCAGCTGTAAGCTGCCAAGCCGCCCTAGCATTGAAGTCCTGCAGCCAGTGCTAGCGCTCAGGCTCTCAGGCCTAGGCTGGCAGACGCAGGCCAGTCCTCTGTGAAAAGATGTGAGGTGTTGGCGGACGGAGGAGGAGTGCGGCAAATGGCTGATGACCACGGCCAGAAGTTCCATGGGCAATGAAGAAGAAGAAGAAGAATATATTCCCACAAACCCCTCTGAGGAGAGTGTGGTCTCGTACCTACACACCAGCGCCCCCACCAGTATGCTACGAGCGAAATACATGCAACCATTGTTGTGTACGGATACCTAGTGAGGATCTCCGCCTCGCAATGTCGCGATATGTATCCGGGCACTTGAAAGATTAGACAACATGGAATAACCTACCACTCATTGTGTATATATCTTGGGGCCATGTCTACCCTCTGCAGCACGTCGTGGACATACATTGCGAAGCGCTCAATCCCCTGCGCGTGATGCCAACAGTACGCGCAAGAACGGCACGTCATCGAGACGCCGCCTCGACGGCTCCAGCGTGCAATCCAACGCATAAACCTCTCGCAAAAAGACCTCCCGCATCAAGCGCAACCTCTCGTCATCCACGCATTCCAGCAGGACATGTGCCTCATCCTCGACTCCAGACACACAGAACCTGCACAGACGGCGGTCACGAGGGACAGGCTCCCTGGTTCTCGTCCTATAGCGCAGAACTTCGACACTGAGGCAGTGATTTGTGAGCAGCAGGCGGGTGAGTGCTTTCCGGTGAGCTGGCACCGTGACCCGAGTCAGGTAGTGGCGGCAGTGGCGCGTCACTGGTTTCAATACTCCTGAATCCGCCAGCTCCAGCCGGTCCCGCAGCAGGAAGCATTTGACGTAGTTGTCGATTTGTGACTGTAGGTGTTCATCCCCGACTCGGATTACCTCCTTCTTGATCTCCGCAATACGGGCTGCATCCAGCAGGTCCGCAGGATCAATCCGTATCGGGCGAGGGAGAGCGTAGAGGGCATTGGCCAGATCGCCCGGCCCACGAAGGCCTACGGTGCATCCACAGGTCGAGACTCTCGCGGAGGGCCAACTTAGCTGTACGGTCATCATCCATCTCTGCGAGATACTCAGCCCTTCCCAAAGCCAGAAGTAACCTGCGAGTACGAATCGGTAAGACTCCCGTTTCCGTGTATAGCGCTGCTGTCATGCACCGTGGGCCTACACCTAGCAGGCGGCGCAGGAACTCTTTTTGGACATCCTCGAGCTCGGTCACTAGATCATCCAC